CACCTTCAGGTCCCTCCAGCCAAATCCAAGGCCCAGTTCCAGCAGAGGCCACTCCAGAGGTACCAAACACAGCAGAAGTCACCCAGAGAAGCAGCACGATTCTGAACGAGGCAGTGCTTCCGTCTGCTCCCACCAGCAAATCCCACTTGTGCCACAAATAAAAGCTGCAAGCTGGGCTAATTTAACACACAAGTGACTCCATTTCCTCCTTTACATTTTGCAAAGCCCCAGCAGCCCCAGGAAGGGGTAAGAGTCCTGCAGCTGAATCAGCTGAGCTGCAGCTCCTCGTTTCAGACCAACCCTGTGCTGGACAAAGCCATGTTCTAGGTGAAGGTGACATTTGGAGCCTCAGATCAAGGACTTTGCCAGTGTCACACAGACACAGCGTTCTACAAAACCAAACAAGACCCTTGCCTTGCTATTCTAGCACCAACCTGAATTAAAGGCAGCAAGGAAAAGCTCTTCCAATGCAAGCGATCATTTACTGACAAAATGGAAATGCTTTTCATCATCCCAACTTCTCAGCTTGATTTGCTTTAATTGCAGAACAGTCTGTCTGTCCAAATAAATCTCCAATCATTGCATTTTCTGTAGTGTTCCTCAGATCACTTTATTATCTCTCTCTCTGGCAAACATAGGTATGACCAGGATTCAATTACCTGGGGCTGCTGGATGGATCATCCATTTCTCCCTGATAAAGCCAGGGAACACAGTGAGAACATTTATCTGTTGCAAGGATCATTCCAATATCCTCAAAGACATTAAAGAAGGGTCTGCTAGAGCTGCCTGTCATGACTCACTACTACAAGCTCCCCTTGCCAAATTTCCAAGTTTTCACCTGCCCACAAACCCCACCTGCTCAGAGGGTTCTTCCCAAGAACATCTTTAACCCAGCCTTGCTCTGCCCAGCAGCTCATCTGTCACGAGACAGGCAGTGACTTCATTTTCTACCCTCGTACATCTGATTCTTTTCTGAGGAAAGCTGAGGATAAGATGGTGAATTCTGACCCATCTCTGCCAGAAACACTTTTAATGCAACAGTTCCTGCATTAACAAGGGACAAACTCTGCAGTACTTCAACCACAACCTTTCTCACCTCCCTTTAGCAGTGCCATGTGTCAAGGGGGCAAAGTCAGGTGAGGATTTAGAGCTTGGAACTTCACGTGACAGATGCTTTATAACTGAATCTAGTTTAAGAAGGTCAAGTCAGCTGTTGCCTTGCCAGGTTTTGTCATTAGTTCCTCCTGGATATCCTCTCCAGCCTGCCAAGGCAGGTGAACTGACTCACCTCTCACAGTTCTGTGACAGAACTGACGCAAGTTTGAGCTGGGAGTTCCTGGGATTCTCATAAAGATTTCTTATTTCCCCACAATTAATAATTAACCCCTTTTTTAAAACTTTTTTCTTTTTTTGTCTGTGATGCTGGACAGTCTGTTTTTAGTAACATCTTGCTCCAGTCATATTTCATCAGTGAAACCTCAGAGGTTTCTTCTGGATCTCTGTGGCTGGGCCATGCAATGCCCAGGTCACACCACGCTACGTTTTGTCCTCGTGGTGCCAATGTGAAACAGGAGAAGTCACACCACTCTGCCATCCCTCTCAGCAGATTAAAAACTTCTCTGAAGGGCAAATTCAAAGCATCCTCAGCTTTTAGAACTTTTAGTAGCCTTTGCTCGACTGTGGGAGTTTCGCTCTGTACAAGTCACGACGCCAGTGGAAAAAAAAAAAAAAATAAGGAGTCTAAAAGCGATGTATTTTTGTGAGTCAGCAAAACTCACATTTTAACATTCTCCACCAACACCTAAGCAGGGGTAAAAAAGCAATCTCTAGATGGACCTGTCAATGAGGGAACCGGAAGGCAGCTCCACCACCTTGCCTTCCCATAACTTTCAATGACTCACAGTGCCTGGCACTATCATTTGTTAAAGCAAGAGTGAAGCAGGGATAATAGCTATTTACTAAAAACAGAGGAGCGTGATCAGCTTTAATTAGCATTGTCAAGTGACTTAAGATTGTCAGGTACAAGATGTGGGAGAACTAAGTCTCATTAATTATGTTATTTCCTGCAGCCTTAAGTGGCTTGGCCAGTCCAGTGACGCTTCCGGAGACAGAGCTGCTCCCGATGGCCAACACATCCCACACCAGAGTGTGGAAATGCTCCCAGGCAGGCCTGGAAGATGTGGCTGTCCAGTAAAAGGTGGCAGAGAAGGAGTGGAAACAGGAACACTCAGCTTACATGCTACAGGACAGCCACAGACCCTGACAAACGGGGACAAAAATGCAAAACGACATGGCAGAAATCAGACTCTGAGATAACTGACTGCCAGAATCCAGGGAGATGAAGACCAGGGACCAACGGCGGCTACAGGGAATAGGATTCAGGTCCAGGGTACAGCACTCTTCAAAAACTGTCTTTTTATTCTCCCCAAAAAGACAAGCTATAAGAAATCCACATTCTCAGCCAGCATCACATGGCAAACAGACACTGATTTACCAGCTAAAGAGTTGTACTAAAGAAATGAAAAATCTTTGAATCAGAGTAGTCCCTCTCTTCCATGGACTCTCCTTGGCTTCTGGAAGGAAAAGGAAACCTGTCCTTAGCCATTAGTTACTGTGATGGATCTGAAAGAAAAAACCCACAAATAAACAGGCACAGGAAAGGGAACGTCTTGAAGGACCAACTTACAGGTCTCACTCAAGGAGTGGAAAAAGGCAGCTATCCTGGTTTCCAAGCAATAAACACACTCTGCTATACCTCAGACATCCTGATCAGCCTCAAAACAGCCCAAGGAGCTCTCAATTTCCCCATTCCTGACTCTGCTGTGATCCCTGTGCTCCAGCACTCCATAGCTGACCTCTAATGAAGACTCTGCTTATGCTCAAGCAAACAAAGCTCTGCCAGTTAATGACCAAAGCCCAGTGAAAGCCAGGCTTTATCGGTGTCTCTTCTTCCACACACACAGGCGAAGGCAAGGCCATGATGCAAGGACAAGAAATAAATGTTTTTTTCTCCTTTGCAATCCCTGCAATGCTTTTGTAGTACCACACCAGATGAAGGAGGTCCCAACTTTCTAAACTGCCAACCAGGACCTACACCAGAGTGACCAGTTCCTTAATTAAATTCTCATTCAGCAGCAGGTATTCAATCCATGAGTCAAGGAGCCTTTGAGGGAATGTGGATTTACAGGTAGGGATGCTGTCTTCTTCAACACAACCCTGACTCAACTGCACACACCAAGCAGCAAGGAAAGGAAATCATTTATTCAGAATCTATGAATCCAGAGGACATGAGGGAGCTCAAGGACTGTTTTGCCAGTTATTCCAATCCTGGCACTGGGAAAGAGACACCTACAAAGAAAACTAAAATAATAAATAAGTAAGAGAAGCACTTGACACCTCCATCAGATGAAAACAATGTCTCTGCCCTCCCTACAGCATTCCCAACCTCAGCTTCAAAGTGTAGCCCTCACTTCTACATGGCCTTTCGGCAGGAAACAAGAACCAGGGATCCAGGGAGAAAAGGAGAACATCCCAATTCGTTGTTCCAGTGCTGCTCTTACACAGCAAACAATGTTTACAAGGAACCAGAGGCGTGGAACCAACACGATGAGATCTTGAACAAAATCAGTGGGAGTGCTCTGCGAGGATGAAGTCACAAAACACATCCTTTCCAGGCAGAATCCTCTCACGGATTACAAGGCAAGCTCCCTCGGTATCTGCTTGTTTACAACCCTCTCACTCAGCACAGGCCTCCCTGCACTGCCCAGCTTTAAGTACCCATAAACGCATTAGGAAAAATTCTTATCTGGAGCAGGGAGCTGGCCCTGAGGAAGGCAGGGGCAGGAAGGCAGTGCAGGAAGGCAGGTGCTGTGCTCTGTCCCGCCCTTGCCCAGCTGCACGCGAGGAACACTGGTCTGACAGGCCTTCCTCTGGCTGTTTTCTAAGACAGAAAAAGGTGAGGACAGAGCCACTCCAATAATTTGTAGGGTAAGGCTGCAAGGATTCCATTTCTTTTTTCCTACCCCGTTAAAATCACGTTTTAAACACAAGCATTTCAAATCAGCTTGACTTCAAAATTCAGCACTAAAATCTGAAGCTATGGACCCATGGCTACTTCTGTCACCTCGAACTTCTCTGGCTTTTCTGGATCAAACCCAGAAGTTTCTATGGAGATGCAGAACCCCGTTACCATTTCGCCCTCAGCCCTGGCCCTCGGCGGAGCTCTGCAGAAGAGGAAGCTGCTACACCCTTATCAGAGGCGATAGCAACAACACAGAGCAGCTGAGTTACCCCGCGCCCGGTTTCGGTGCTCCGAGTGCCAGAACTGCCCTGGGAGGGGCATCCCCAGGGTGCCCCGCAACCCCTGTGCCCCCCAGGCACGATGGCAGCGCTCTAGCAGAGCCACAGCTGGGCACTGCCGGGGCTCCAAGGACTCGCAGCACAGCTGCCAAACAGAGCTGCTGCCCCGGAGCCCCGGGAGAAGATGCTGCAGCTCCGCGGGGTCACCGCCCGAGCCCCCCGCACGCCCCGTCCCACCTGCGGGGTCAGCGTTTATGGTGCGTCCATCGCCACAGCGAGATGGGTGGCGAGGAAGCACCATCTCTGCTCCTCCTTCTCCTCCCCCGGCGTTTCCTCGCCGATCCCCGGGTCGATGGCACCGAACCCCTCCCGGTCGGACCTGTTGCCCCCCGCCTGCATCCCCTCGCCCGGCCGCGCACACAAAGGCCGCCGCCCAGCCCGGCTCTCCCACCGCCAACACCGGGGGCTCTCCCATCTCCTCTACCGGCCCTGACGGAGCCCGCCGGGGATGCTGCCCCGGATCCGCGCGGCCACGGGGCGGGTGGAGGGGGGGACACGGGGACACTCGGACACAGACGCGGCTGTGGCGCAGCTGCGCCCGGCCGCCCAGCCCCGGCCCCGCTAGGCGCGGGCCGGGACGTTTCTCCTCGGTGGCCGCTCGCCCCTCACGCCCTCACGCTCTCCGTGCCGCCCTCACTCACCGCGGCCGCACCGAGCGCGTCCCGGCGCGGACCGAGCGCGGCGGCCGCCGACGCGCACAGAGCCCACAGCGCCTCCCCCGCCCACCGCCTGCTCCCTCCGAATATACCGTGCCGGCGCTGAGCGACACCGCTTCTAACCAATCAGCGCCCGCCGGCACATAGCAACACGCCGCGGATTGGCTGTCGCCGGCCGCAGCCCATTTTTGCCCAGCCATTCAGAGCGCGACGCTGGCGCGGTGCTCCCGCCCCGCCCCTCGCGCACCGGCGGTCCCGCACGCAGAGGCTGCGGCGGCGGCAGCCAATGGGAGCGCGGCTCGCGCGGCCGCACAACAAACGCGGCGCGAGCTCTTAAAGGCGCCGCGCCCTCCCGCGGCGATGCGCGCAGGATGCGCGGGGACTGCGCGGCCCCGGGGGTCCCGGGTTTCAGGGTCACGGCGCAGGGAAAGGGGGCGGCTCTGGTCACTTTCCAATGGTTGTGCGGTATTTCCGTCTTTCCCCGCACAGGTAATTAGCGCGCGCTAATGAACGGCGGTAATTAGCGGTGGCTGGTGCGCGGGGTCGGCCCCGGGGGTGCGGGAGCAGCGGGCAGAGCAGAGACACAAAATGCACCAGTGCTAACCCCAAATCCACCGATATTAACCCTAAAATCCACCAGTGTCACCCCTCCAAATCCACCAATATTACCCCCAAAATTACAAGTAACTAACCCCAAAATTCACCAATATTAACCCCAAAATGCAGCAATGCTAACCCCCCAAATCCACCATTACACCTCCAAATTCACCAATATTAACACCCAAAATCCACCAATACCAACCCAGCTTCCCCAACATGCCACAGGGCTAATCGCAAAAATGAGGATATTCCATATTTCTCCTAACAATCTCCATCCCAGCTCCTGCCATGGATTTTTCCAGAAGAGATCTTGGTGGTTTTGTACCCCAACAACTGCAGATGTGCTCCCACCCCCAGCAAACCCCAATTAAATGCTATCCCCTCAAAGCTCTGTAATTAACACATCAGCACACAGCAGCTCAGGACGAGGTCATTTGAAGGCTTCTTCCCTGCACGTTTTTATTTCCTAATAACAATAATTCAGTGTATAAAGTACAGGTTTAATAATCCCAGAATAGTTTGGGGTTGAAGCAACTTTCAAGTCCATCCCCTTCCAGCCCTGACTTGGGCAAGAACTCTCCCCACTATCCCAGGTTGCTCCAACCTGGCCCTGGACATCTCCACTATTAAATATATTTAATTAATATTTTCTATCTGTCCATTTCTCGCATCTATGGATAAAAGTTCTACATCAGGGCTGAAATATATTTGCTTTATGAGATTATTCTTGTTCTAACACTCTCCTGCTTAAACAAATCCATAATGATATTTTACTGCAGAATTCCTTAATCGGTAATAAGCAATATTCTGGTTCAAATGTTAAATACATGGACTAATAAAGCAATATTTCCATTAATTGTGATATTTTTTGTGGGTAAAATAAAATCCTGCCTTGTGCTATAAATTATTTTCCTTCCACAGAAGCCAAACCCACCCCTCCTGATTACATTACTGAACCAGCTGGGTGAGGAATTCCACAGATTTTTAATACTAAATGATATTTTTTCCACTCCTTGTGCACTCGTGGTACAATTTAAACATGCTGCTAACGAAGATTCAAGCACCAGGGTAGTTAGCAGCTATTAAATACACCCAATAAAGAGGAAAATTGCCTTTCTTTTTTAAATTTGTGTTATCTTTAGACAGCTGCAAGAGGAGCCTGCTTTGAAGGCTTACTTTAAGCTTCTTCTTTTCTTAGATAACCTCTTGCCTTCCCCAGCCAGCAGCAAAGAGCAAACAGCAGATTTTCAGCCTCTTTCCCCAGTGCTAAAAGCTCTGTGTTTAACAGAGCTAGACAAGGTTATCAGCAGGAAGTGGTTACAGAATTTACTTGAACTTTAAATCACCCAGAAACCACAAGAAACCATCAGCAAAACAAATTTACATCATTAAGAGGCTGCTGCACAGCAGTGAAATTATTTTTTTTCCCCACCACCTGTGCAGAACTTTCAGTTTGTTAATAAAAATACATTATTTAAAAGGTGAACATCAAGATTATTTTAAAATATATATAAAAAAAAGTTTCTATTGTAATAAGATTGATTTAGGGTGGTGACTAATTTGAATTATATTGCTTTAAGTTCAGCATTACCATGGAAATCTGGGGATTCATACAGCTTTGAAGTTGTAGAAAAATATCACCCTAAAAATGCCCAAAATTTCCTTATGTTCTAACCTCCATGATCTACAAAAATTGGAAGGTTTTTAGGGATTAAGAGTGTTTTATCAGCAGCATTTCACTCACTTCTTCAAAATGAAATGCTGGTTAGGTTAAATGCTATTTACTAAAGCTTCAAGTCCCATTTTTACATTTCATTATGGGTAACAGAGTGTGGTTGCAAACTTTTCAAGCACAGCTTGAGCACCACCATGAAAACTTTTACTGGGCTAAGCTTTAGGGAAATCTATTAAAAAAAAAAATATCTGAATTTTGGCTCTACAATAATTACAACTTAGCTTTCAACTGAACAGCTAACCAGGATTTTTAATTTCGCTATTTGCAAACACTATTTTTTGGAGCCTGAGCAGCACAGCTACTGTTTTTCCCTGTTCAGTATCTGATATCAGTTGAAACCTTAATTATCATTTAAACAAGAAAAGCCCAACTGATCAAGCATCACTGCCTGGGGGAAACTTTTGCCATGGCAATACTGAGAGGGGAGAAAATGCCAGATCACCCACTGAGGTATTGCCTCAACATCTTGGGAATTAAGTGTGCGTTAAACGCTGATAAAAATCTCAGTTTCTTGGCATTCCTGAATTTTATTTGCAGCAGGTGTTAATGGCCTCATAATCAAGATACTTCCCCTGCTATTGCCTTTTTTTCTCTGTTTGTAAAATGGGAATATTTTAAATTTTTTAGACACATGAGGAAGCATCATTTAAGTGTTTCTATCGTTAACAAAAGTATTTTTTTTCCCCCAATTTCCCTATTTTTGGTCCAACAAAAAACCAGCCAGCATCTCCCAGTGCTTCATCCTGACCCAAAAATCACCAAGCCATGACTATGCAGCTGTAAAACCACCCCTTACAGCTGATCCCTCATTTCCCTTTCCATAGCAATAATCCAGATTTTAGAATTAGGAACTCCCCTTTCCATAAATCCAGCTTAATAAACCGATGGTAAAACCTCCGAATGTGGGACTGAAGGAGCATCATCTGCTTTTAATGCAGCTCTGCACTGCGGGTTCCCCATCCCGCCGGGCTCCGGGAATGGCTGTGTGGAAGATGGATCCTATGGAAATCCATCGGGAATGCGCGGGCTGTGGCGGCCTCCCGCGGCAGGAGGGAGCAAGGACCGGACATTAATATTTATTTCCTACCAAAATTCATCCCTTCTTCACAGACACGGGGAATTTTCAGGGGCAAACCAATTAAAAAAAATAAATATATATCCCGATTTTTTTTTAAATAATCAGCACCTCGAGCTTTCTTGCTTTGGATAAAATAAATTGTGAAGTTCTCAAAAATCTGTTTGAACTGTGGATTTATGCCAGGTGACACCACATTTCCATGTTAAAAGACGCTGTAATGCACTCCAATTCCTTATTCCGGTTTACCAAACATTTCGGATGTGTTTTAAGAAATCAAACAGCAACCAGAGCCATCCGGAGAATCTTCTCATCATGCTGGAAAAATCCTTTACATTACTAAATATTGTAACATACAAACCCCCACTTCACCTCTTACCTAAATATTAACCCTCAAGGCTTTAAAACTACACTTGACCTTAAAACCTAATATTTAATGTAATTTAATGGCAATCCAGTAGGAAAGCTGGAAATTTTTCCTCTAGGACTAGAGGAAATGTTATCCTGCTGATCATCAGAAAGGACAAACTTGCTGCAGGTGGAATTTCTGTGAACACAAACTCAAACCAACGACACTGTAAACTCAAAATCACTCTCAGAAATTAGGTTTTTAGGGAAAGAAGTCACACCTAATGAGTATTCAGTTTTAGATCTTTTATGAGCAAGGATGTTTTAATGTGTCACATTTCAAAAGCATCCAATCTTTCTTCACATGAAAAGAAAAATCACTGCATAGCTAGAGAGCTTGTGGAGCTAGAGAGGTCCACAAGACTTTCTGCAAATTAAAAGTGCATGAAATACATGCAGTCATCCTTCATACATAAAACAGCTTTGAAACAGGGTTGAGAACACAGTGTTAAAACAATATTTAGAGTTAAAAGTACCTGAAAAGAATCTCTCCTCAGAGAGAGGGAGATTAACTGAACATCCTCCTGGACAGCTGTGCACATTCTCAACAAAAGCTTTTCTGTACAAGTGGTTTAAAAATCACACAGTGAGTTCTGGAATATTCAAAACAAGGACTGGATACAACAAATGTTTTACAGTTACCCCAATACCAGGGTATTTTGTTACAAACAGTTATCATGGCCTAAGCCCTGTGCATTGGTGCTGGGATTCATCCATGGAATATTGTCTGGCTCATGAGATCAAACCTGAGCTCTTGTGCTAAAGCCCAAACAGGTGAATGAATAAATCCAGCAGCTTTTCCAGAACTGGACCCTTTCCCTCCCAATCAAATTTCAGATATTGAGCAGCAGATTTATCCAAGAGAGGTCAATGTATAAACAGCACAGTCAGAAGCTCCATCAGATGTAAGAACACTGGTCTGACAAAAATGTGGTTGAAAAATGTGTTGAGAATTTTAGAAGGCAAAAATTTCCATCTCTACTATTTGATAAAAATAAATTAAAATTAAATATAAAACACTGTCATTTAAGTATCTGTTTTTTCATTCAATACAGAATAATGGAAAATTGTTTATTTATTGAGTGTGAGGGAAACTTGAGACAAAATAAATCAGAGATCAAAACTGGTATTTTAAAACTTAGCTCTTCCTAACCTATACAAAAAGTTTTAATATGTTTTTGATAGTATTCTCTAAAATTGTAATTATATTTGCATC